TTCCAGTAACTCATATGTGGCCTTACAGTAACAGGAAGCAACAAAGGTGGAGACAGGCAGAGCAGACCAGGAGCACTGTTTGTTTCAGTGACATGTGCCTGGAGGCAGTTTTGGCAAAGGGATGTGGACTTAACTGAAATGTACTGTGGATACCTCTCACTGTACCGACGTCTGAGGTCGTAACACATGTCGCTGTGGATGCTCTTTCATGTCAGCAGTCGTCGCACAAAGTGCATACAGTGCAAACACTCAAAACAACCAATCTTGTGTGCCTTCGCTGGCCTTACTGATCTAAAGTTTTCTGTGGATTTCACACCTTTACTTTACCTCAGTGCAGTACGCTCAAAGTGAGAACACACACGATTATGCACATCAACACCTTTTTTTTTCCAGCTGCACCTAAAAAAGTACGAATCTATATCTCACACTATAAGTTCCTGCTCTTTTGATGTTTTAGGCTAATTTTGTAAATCCACTTGAACATGCACAATATTTACTCTTCACTACAGCGCACGTGTTCATGTGACCACACTTTCCGTTAAGCTTTAATTGTGGCTACATGGCTTTTTTTTGCATGCACTAAATGAGTTTCAGCCATGTGACTGGCGGATTAGCTATTTGTTTTAATGAGCTACAGGTGTCCCTAATGAAGTGGCAGGAATGTGTATATACAGTAGGTTGTGTTATCTGTTAGTTGCCCTAATTAGCTAGCATTTCTCTGAAGTGCATGGATGTTCTCAAATGTTAACTTAGTTTGTGAATTTCCTGGGACTGATATTTAACATGCTGCACATTTTTTCTTGCTTTCTGAGCCTTCTGTGTGGTTACAGTGGCTGACCATTATTATTATTATACTTTATTCTCATTATGCATGTTCACCCACTTTGGTTTCATGGCTAGCTGCTAGCTAGTCTTTTTCTCTCCCAGCTCTCCCTCGTTGTCTATTGCTGCAGGATTGGGGAACAGGCAGGCAGTAAGTCCAGGATAGACAAATCTCCATAAATCCTTCCACAGTGGCTACCCTCTTCAGACTACACTGTACAACATCTGTCTTCATCTTATGAGTGCACAGGCCCAGCCACCTGCTTTTCCTCTGCTCAACCCCCCTCCCACCCCCCATGCTTTGTGAACTTAATAAAAGCTGCCATTAAGCAGCGCTTCATCTGTTTGGGCCCTAATCTGCCTTATAGGCATCATGTGACCACATATGCAGTGCACACCTGTCGTGTATGTTCCCAGCCTCAACTGTTGCCTCTCCACGCTGCTCACACACACACACATACACTCACTCAACCTGTTCCTGGCATATCAACCAAATGCTTGTCAGTGTTGCCTGGCACAATAACACACACACACAAACACACAGTTGAGGCTTATAAAACATAAAACTCGAGGTTGTTTTGTGTGAAAGCAGAAGGTATGAATCTGCTCAAAGATGTGTCATACACATGTTTTAAAATTCAAAAACACACTGACACCGGAAACAGGCCTAAAGTTATTCAGTATGGGTTTTTTTTATTTCACTGAGTGAAAAGCTCAATGTTTGCATAAGACATGCAAAAACATAAATATAGAACAATGAAGATGAACAGCACTGTATCCAAGTGGAAATAAGCAACACGACGAGAATGAATAGTAGCGCTGAGGGCAACAAATTGAAGTAGAGACTTTTTAAAAAATTGCTTCATTGTCTACTTTTCATATAAAACGTCTCATAAATCGAGCCAAATTGAACGCTAACGGGAGATGGCTTTTAGTCCAAAAGTGCAATATATTTTACAAAGTCTAAATTGTTGCTCTGTTTATCCACTACTCTGCAGTAAGAAGGCTGCTTTCATATTACATTTTTCCAGCAGTGGAAATACATCTCTGTTTACCCCCACACACACACACACACATTTTTTATACCATCCTTTTTACTCTGTTAATTAAAACAGTAAAACGATCTGTCGTTTCAGCAGCAGCCTATGCAGGATTTGGAGGTCGTTTCCGTCTGGTTTTTGTGTAATATAATTTTCATGTTTATTCTTTTTTTCTTTTTTTTTCCACTGGTAGATTATATACAGGATACCAGCTGGCAGACAGATGGTGATGCCTTTACCCGTGCTTTTTTTCTCTCTTTTTTTATTAAAAAAAAAAAAAAACATCACAAGGAAGAGAAGGAGTAAGGACAGGAACAGCTGTAGACGAGGGGACAGAGTCAGCACACTGGCCACTGGGTGACATGAAATATTGGGAGGAGACACCAGCACATGGCTTACAGAGAGAAAAAAAAAAGTAATAATAATAAATGTGCCCTGTTACCAGTGAGCAAGACACAGAGAGCCATCTTGTTAGCAGTAGCAGACCTCTAAATCTCAGTAATGGTCCTCGCTCTGATCCTGTTCTCACACCAGAATGTGAAGAATGAACAACCCCGACAACAAATATTGTTGATTCCTCTACCTGCATGAATGCAGATG